CCAGGGTTGGACCCACTTCTTAACTCAAATGTCCCCAAATGGAAGCCCCTGGGCTCAGTGTGAGACCAAGTGAGCGGGAGGAGCGGCTTCCCTGGGCCGCACGGGCACCCTCAGCTGCATTACGAAAAAGGAGGAGGCCGGCCACGTCAAACCAAAACTCTCCGGCTGACATGTGCCTGCGGCAGCCTGGGTGGCTGGGTGCAGCCTGGGACCTGAGGGAGGCTGAGCCTGGCAAGGCCCTGGCTGCACAGGCAGCAGGGGCTGGGCTGCAGGTGGGGGGCGGGACACTTCTTCCTGGGTCGTCTGCTTTCTCCTTCCCTGATTTTCATTCCCATGGGCTGTGTCCTGGGATGAGCCAGCGGGCCGTAGCTAGCATACCGACCAGGGCACCTGAGGACAGAGTCTGTATAAGGTCCAGGCATGGACACCCCTCAGCGGGGAGAGAGCCCCAGCATCTCCGTCAGCCCTCTGGCTCCAGCACCTGCCACGCACACCCGGCCTCCTTCCCTCCCCCTTCTGACCCAGAGGCCGAGTCTGGGCCCCACTACCTTCACCATGATGGCTGCTTCCCCTCACTCCCTCTCCAGATCCATTCATTCATTCACTCAGGGGGCGGGGCGGGGCTGTGCAGCCACGAAGCTCCTGTGTATTGAGAGTCTGCTCTGAGCCGAGCCCTGAGCCGCCTGCCCGGTTCCTGCAGGCCCTGCCCTGGCTCCTTCCTCTTCAGCACAGGCAGGGCCCTGGCCCCTCTGTGGCCCTAGACAAGCTGAGACAAGACCCCCCTCTTGGTGGCAGTGTGGCATGCTGGGAATGCCCAGTGCTCTACACAGACGCCGTGAACCCCAGCTCTGACTACCCAGGCTACTATACACATGTCAAACCGGTGACTAGGCCCGGCCGGCGTGGTGCAGTGGTTGAGCGTCGACCTATGAACCAGGAGGTCACTGGTTCGATTCCCGGTCAGGGCACGATCCCTGGTTGTGGGCTTGATCCCCAGTCGGGTATATGCAGGAGGCAGCCGATCAATGATTCTCTCTCATCATTGATGTTTCTCTCTCTCTCTCTCTCTCTCTCTCTCTCTCTCTCTCTCTCTCTCTCTCTTCCTCTCTGAAATAGAAAATATATGTTTAAAACACACATACACAAATAACCCCCGGTGGCTGAGACCTGCCAACCGCTGTTTCCTCATTGGAATAAAAAAAAAGATGAAGAGGAAGCTACCTTCCCCAGGTCACAAGCTGAGGAATCGCGTGGAAGGAGCTTGGTGCAGCGTTAATGCTCAGAATAGCAGCTGCTCCTGCGTGGGGCATCGGCAGCCCGTCAGGCCGATGTGGCTGCCGCCTGAGAACCTACTTTTCCCAGAAAGTGGGGTGATCTTCTCTGCTTCGAGGCCCTTGGGACTCCACCCCAAGTTCTCCTACTCTTGGTATTAGTCTATTTTTCCTTCCTTTTTAAAGAAAAAATGTCAAGCATGTGCAACAGACGAGAGAACTGTGTCATGAACCGTGGCACCTACCACCAGTTCCAACAACTGACACCACCTCCCTCCTGCCTTGTCCCCCTGGAATATCTCCAAGCAAATTGCAGGCATCATATCATTTTACCTGTAAAATTTCCGGCGTGTGACAGATAAAGCCCTCAGAGCACATAGCACAGCACTTCATACCTAACAAAACTAACAAACTTACATTAATATAATCAATTACACAGACTATATGCATTTCCCCCAATTGTCTCAGGAATGTCTTTTTACTGCTCACGTAAGAAACATTCAAACCTGTGGGGAACTTTTGTGAGTTTATTTGAGCCAAACTGTGGATAGGGAAGCAAAATCTCACCTCATGGAGATAACGCCCCAGGGAATGGCAGTTCCCACCTTGTTTTATACATTACAACCAACAGAGGAGACATAAGTGGGGCACAGGAGACCCATTGGTGATAGGTTAGGGAGGCGGGAGAAAGCAAAGGGGAAGGAGAGGGCATCTCTGGGATTGGATAAAAAGTGAAATGATAGACAGACACATACACAGGGGGTGAAAGGTTAAGGTCGGTGGTGCATCTCAGATGGTGATTAAAGAAAATTGGATTTATTTAAGGAGAAGGGGATGGGGCTGGAGACCGCTTCAGGGGTTTAGCCCGGGACTAGCTGCCACTGTCCACGGCTCCCTGGTTGCAGTCTCATGGGGGCCCTTAGAAGTTGGGGGAGAAGTGCCTGTGAGGGAAGGAGAGGGGAAGGGCAGGGCACGGGCGTGCTCCTTGGAGGCAGAGTGCACACGGGGTCCTTTGCTCTGAGCATAGTTCTCTCTCTCTTGCAGGTGGGAATCTTAGGGGAGGCTCAGGGCCTTAATAGAAAAGTCATCAGCTTCCCAGGTGAGCTCTTTCAGGGTCGTGGTCTCTGCTGATTGGTCAGCACCAGGGCCAGGGGTCATTGGTCAGTAGAGTTGGTCCTGAGGCAGCCACGGTGTCACTTGTCTGGTTTTGCTGCTTTTCTGGGCCTGGAGCCAAAAGGCAACTGAGGCCTCGATGTTATCTCTAGGGAGGGAAGGTCGGGGTCTAAACCGCCTCACCAGGGATATGAGAGATCGGGGTCCAAACCGCAGGACCAGTGATGTGGGAGGGGAGGAGAGGTCACCCTGGGGGCGAGGCGCTTGTTTTCCCAGCTTGGCCCCTTGCTGGGCACCTGGAGCTTTCTGCCCTGGTGACCTTCTGTACCCGCCCTTCGTCCTCGTCCTTGTCCTCACTCGGGTCTAACAGTGGGTACAGGATAGTAGTTAACAGTTAACAACATAAAAATAACAACAAGGACATTTGTAGTCCCTGCTCTGGTGCAGTGGCTGTGCCCTGAGGGGTCTGGAGGAAGGGAAGTTACCAAAGGGACATTCCAAAGGCCTGTTATCTTAGATGCAAAAGACCACAGACAGGCTCCATTAAGGTAAAGAGTGACCTTTATTTGAGCATGGAAACCATTGGAGAGTGTTTTTTTGTTTTTGTTTTTAAAATTGATTTCAGAGAGAGGAAGGGAGAGGGAGAGATAGTAACACCCATGATGGGAGAGAATAATTGATCCATTGCCTCCCGCATGCCCCGGATTGGAGATTGAGCTCAAAACCCAGGCATGTGCCCTGACCAGGAATGAAACCATGACCTCCAGGTTCATGGGTTGACGCTCAACTACTGAGCCACACTGGCTGGGCTGTTTGGTTTTTACAACACAAACTTAGTATCTTACGGTTCTGTCGGTTAGGAGTCTGACACTGGTCTCAGATCGCTAAAATCAAGGCAGCGGCAGCGGCAGCGGCAGAGGTGAGTTGCATTGCTTTCTGGAGGCTGTAGGGGAGCATCCCTTGCCTTTTCCATTCCAAACACGGCCATCTTCCTTGGCTTATTACCCTTTTCCTCTATCTCTAAAAAAATGTTGCTGATATGTCTCCTAGGGCAAGAGAAGCAAAGGGAAAAATGAACAAGGGGGGCTACATGAAGCTAAAAAGCTCTGCACAGCAAACACCAAACCATCACAAAATGAACAGGCGACCCACGGAATGGGAGAGCATATTTGCCAGTGACACATCTGATAAGGGTTAATTTCCAGAATATATAAAGGACTGATATAGCTCAACAAAAGGAAGACAAATAACCCAACTTAAAAAAAATAAATGGGCAAAAGACCTGAATAGACACTTCTCCAAAGAGAATGTACAGAACATGAAAAAATGCTCAAAGTCATTGATCATCAGAGAGATGCAAATTAAAACCACAATGAGGTATCACCTCACAACTGTCAGAATGGCTACCATCAACAAATCAACAACTGATAAGTGCTGGCAAGGATGCGGAGAAAAAGGAACCCTCGTGCACTGCTGGTGGGAATGCAGACGGGTGTAGCCACTGTGGAGAACAGTATGGAGTTTCCTCAAAAAATTAAATATGGAACTCCCATTTGACCCAGTAATCCCACTTCTAGGAATATATCCTAAGAAATCAGAAACACCAATCAGAAAGGATACATACATGCACCCCTATGTTCATAGCAACACTATTTACAATAGCTAAGGTCTGGAACAGCCCAAGTGCCCATCAGCAGACGAGTGGATAAAAAGCCGTGGCACATCTACACCAGGGAATACTACGCAGCAGTAACAATGAAGGATCCCTGACCTGGAGAGCATTATGCCAAGTGAAGCAAGTCAGTAAGAGAAAGACAAGTGTCACGTGATCTCCCTCGTGTGTGGAATCTAATGAGTAAAAGAAACTGACAAGTGGCCCAGAGGCAGGGCGCCTGGAACAGAATGACAGCTCTCAGAGGGCGGTGGGTGGGAGCAGGGGACCAAGGATGTGCGTGCATGCACACATAGCCACAGACACAGGCCATAGCGGGAGCTGGCAGAGGGGGGCAAAGGGGAGAAAAGTGGGGAACATGTGTGTTCTCTCAACAATTAAAAGATCGGCCTTGATCAGGGAAGATTCTAGCCGAGGACATGACCACCTGCCTTAAACGGCTTTCAGTTAAACAGTTTTCATTTCAGACCACCCTCTGTGGTTATTCTGGGTCTCTAAGTGGCACGGCCGCCACGCAGGCCTCCCCGATCGTCAGGTTGGCGTGGCCCCTCCCCGCACGGCTGTGGACGTGCCTTACATCCCCCTGTAAGACCGCTTAGGTGCATTCGCACCAGCTCGCTTTGACATACTCTGATTTCAGTGAAAATGCCAGAATAATGAGGAAGTCCCTACTTCCCCAAAGTCTCCTGACTCACTTCCCCGAATGCTTTCCAAATAACATGAATAAGTGTCTCCTTTTTGGGGGTGTCCCCTCACCCTTACAGCAGCTTTGAAATAAAGGGGTTCCTCTAACAGCTTTCAAAACCCAACCAAGAAGAAAGGCAGGGTCTGCTTTAGTTCTTGTTTTCGAGGGTAAACATTTCTGGGGAACTTGCTTCTTTTCAGAAAGACTTTTTTATGCCCTCCCACCTGCCGTTTGAAATCCAACAACCGCAAGATTTACTCCATCCCCCTTTTCTCGCTCTCCCTCACACACTCCCTCGTTCCTTTTAGCAGCAACATACAGGCCGGCCATATTAGAGAGATGGAAATAAAGCTTCCTTAACGCTGTGTGTGTCATTGCCGTACACCCGTGTATCCTATTTATTTTTTTGGCCCCTAACAATTCCTCCCGCGTAGCCCTCAGCCGCCCTCGCCCACACTCCAGGGCTCCCAGGCTCTGGAAATGCACAGACATGCCTGGCTCCCTCGCCCTGCCTTCGGCCTCACGGGGCTCGGTCTCTTTTTCTCTCTGGGTAAGTCAGATTGCACACCGCGCATCGCATGCTTGGAGGGTCCCCAGTGCAGCCCGGAGGAGGCCCCGCAGACCTGCCTCCCCTCCGGGTCCTGGGGAGGGGGGTGTGGGGCCGGAGAGGCTGCTGGGGACTGTGCAGCGCTGGCTCAGGAGTGCTGAGTGTTGCTCAGGAGTGACAGGCGTCTGGGGAGGCAGTTTGTGTTTGGATAGCTTTGCGGTGGACATGTGTGTGTGTGGGGGGGGGCAGCTCCATGTGCAGAGTCTGTGGGTGTTGGAAGCTGCTGTACAGGTGGGGTGCTGAGACTTAATGCTCCCTTCAGGGGTCCTCCTGGGGCCCCTGGCCCTTGGAATCTGGTGGGTGATGACATTAGAAGAGACGGGGGGCAGTGGGGCGGCAGGCAGCAAGTTGAATCTGTCTGGCTTCCTGGAACCCAAACCACTGACGTTTTGAAACGTGTGTGTGTGTGTGTGTGTGTGTGTGTGTGTGTGTGTGTGTGGCGGGGGGGGGGGGGGGGGGGGGGGAGCTGGCTGAGGAACGGTCTCTGGGTGGGAGGAGGCTTGCTGCTCGGCACTGGGCCAGAGGGAGCAGAGGAGGGGTCAGGGGAAGGAATCAGGAGGAAAAAATAAAAAAAGAAGGAAGCCACGGCCAGTGAATTTGTGGCCCTTTAAGAACGGTCCAGCCCGGGCCTGTGGACGGCCCTGTTCAGGGATTGAAGTGCTAATTTCCGACCAGACCACTCATGGACCTGCTGGTGGGAGGTGGGCTGCAGAGCTGGGCGCTAGATTGCTTTACGGGAGTTTCATTCTCGCTCCTAAACGTCGCGTTGCTGGTGCAGCAGCTGAGGTGCGGCGGGCTGTCCCAGGAGCACCACGCAGTGCCTCTCGCTGCCGGGCGCCTGTCTGGCCGGAGTGCTGGACAGAGGCTCGCCCCGGAGCCTGCAGGAGACCGTCCGCTCTGCCGAGTTACTAGACATCTCAACAGCAGAGCAGGAGTGTGTGGTGGTGCAGAGAGGAACTGCGGAAGCCGATCTGGGCTCCAGGCCGCCTTGGCCGTTTACGTCACATCCGTAGACAGGGCACTGGATCGCTCTGAGCTCGGTTCCTTCCTGGGAGCCTGGGGAGTACTGGCCGCCTGGGTTTCTGTGAGAGGATGAGCGAGCAGGTGCTCAGTACCAGGTGACCTTTATGAAAGCATTTCCTGTGCCCGGGCTCTGTCCGCCACGGTGGCAGGTGATCGGAGGAGTGGATGCTGTTGTCACCCTCGTGTGACAGTGAGGAAACAGGCACAGAGAAGTTAAGCCACGTGCCCACTGAGGTCACAGGACCAGGGTAAGGTCAGCTGAGACTGGAGCACCTGAACTGTTGGCCTCTGCTGCCCCCGGTGTTCAAGAAGCGCTACTGCTGCATTAGCCTAATGGTCAAAGCATCTCAGCAGCAGGCCCAGCCTTGGGTGGAGGAAGGTGACCTCCCCGTGGAGTGGGGGCTCCCTGGGGGGCCCTGGAGAGCCTGTCTCCGTGAGGAAAGGAGCGGCTCATGGCCAGCACGAGGTGGCTCAGGGGAAGATGGATTCTGGGGTGAAGAGGTCGGGCCTGGCTGAGGCGCTGTGGGAGGCCGCCGGCTTCCCGGCGCGGGCCCAGGGGGACAGCGGGGCTCGGGAGGCCGCGGCAGCATCCCCTCAGCTGGAGGGACGCTGTAAGTGACGAGAGAGGAGACGGCCAGGGGCTGCGTGTGGGGAGGACAGAGCTGGCAAAGCGGACGTGCCGGGCAGCCGCTGCCCACTTGACAGAAGCACGTGAGA